TCAGCACACGGGCCGGAGGAGCGCCGCAGAATGCCTCCGCTCTCCTCTTATATAATTCTCTCTCGTCTGCTTATGGCCTTCTCGAAGGACTTCTGGTATTCTTGAACTTTTTTTAATGTCGATTCGCGCGTCACATTTTGCAATAACTTCGAGGATTTTCAAGGGATTTTCCTTGTCTTAAGTTGTAAAATAACTTAGAGTGATAGAGATTAAGTTTCTTTTCTTTTTGGTACTGATAGTGTTCAAGCTCTACATTAACATTTATTAACATTGGTTAACATTAAATTTCAATTTGTTATAACAGTTTCATATTGTAAGACTTTTAACATGTTTTATTGAATTATTTCTTTTACCTGTTGAGTCTCATATCCTTCAAAACTTTTAAAACCATTTACATAACTCATTTTACATTACAACATTGCAACACAATAATGATAATAATAACAATAAAAATGATAATAAAATAATAATAATAATAGCTATAATAATAACAATAACAACAGTAACAATAATATAATAATAATAATAATAATAATAATATTATTATCATTATCAGTACTGCTATAAATAATACTACCATTATTATTAGTATGATCATTACTATTACTATTAATAATATAATATCATTATTATTATTATTATCATGATCATTTTTATCATCATGATCATTATTATCATTATTATTTTCATAATTACAAAAACCCTCATAAAGATCATAAAACTCATATCGATGGTGTCAATAAATACAAATTACAGATAATACAACAAAATAAAGCTGAAAATCATGATGACTGTTTCACCACCACAAAAAAACTTAATAAAATCACAGCATAAGCGCCACCGCAGTTGTGACGCCTTAGGCAATGGTGCCGACCTACCCCAACAGCCTTGTATAAGATCTCTCTTTCTTTCTCTCTCTTCCTTTTTTCTTTCCCTCTCCTCTTCTGCCCTCTCCTCTCTTCTCCTTTACTATCCTCTCTCTCTGTCTCTGTCTCTGCCTCTCTCTTTTTCTCTCCTATTCTCTCTCTCTCTCTCTCTCTCTCTCTCTCTCTCTCTCTCTCTCTCTCTCTCTCTCTCTCTCTCCCCCATTCTCTCTCTCTCTCCCATTCTCTCTCTCTCTTTCTCCCATTCTCTCTCTTTCTCTCCCATTCTCTCTCTCTCTCTCCCATTCTCTCTCTCTCTCTCTCACATTCTCTCTCTCTCTTTCACATTCTCTCTCTCTCTCTTTCACATTCTCTCTCTCTTTCTCTCCCATTCTCTCTCTCTCTCTCCCATTCTCTCTCTCTCTATCTCTCTCTCTTTCACTCCCCCCCTCTCTCTCACATGATCTTCCTCCCTCCCTCCTTCTCTCGCTTTCATCCCTCCGTCTCGCCCTCTTCCATCTTCCTCCCTCCCTCTTCCTCTTCCCTTTCACCCTCCTCTTCCTCATATATCCCTCTCTCTCGCTCCTCCTCGCTCTTTTAGACACCAAGAACCTTAATAATCAAAATTAGATATCTAAATAACGACAGATACCAGTACTGCATTACTAAATAGAAAAAGAATAATAAACACACAAACAAACGTAGATATACAGAGAGACGGAAAGGGCCAAAGTAGATTAACAGATATATAAACAGATAGGCGAAGAGGGCCAGAAATAGATGAACAGATAGACGGAGAGGGCCAAAGTAGATAAATAGATAGGCGAGAGGGCCAGAAATAGATAATTAAATTGACGGAGAGGGCCAGAAATATATAGACAGATAGACGGAGAGGGCCAAAGTAGATAAACAGATAGGCGGAGAGGATCATAAATAGATGAACAAAGAGGGCCAGAAGTAGACGAACAGATAAGCGGAGAGAGCCAGATGTACATAAACAGCGGAGAAGGGCCAGGAATAGATGAACAGATAGGCGGAGAGGGGCAAACTAGATAAACAGATAGAGGGAGAAGGCCATCAATAGATAATTAAATAGACGGAGAGGGCCAGAAATAGATAAACATATAGACGGGGAGGGACAAAGTAGATAAACAGTTAGACGGAGAGGGCCAGAAATAGATAAATAGATAAACGGAGAGGGGCAAACTAGATAAATATATTTAGAGAGATTTTCTTAAAGCCAAGCGGTGTCCCTGACCCAACATCGAAGAGGTATAGACCTGTTGGACGACCAAGTGGCTCCTTGCACAAAAAAAAAAGATCTAACAAAATACATGACAGATACAGATATACCTTTTGAAATACATGACAGATACAGATATACCTTTTGATCATATATTTTTCACAATAGAATAATGTGGGAAACCTAAAACATAAGAACATCAAAAATAGGAAGAGGAGATCCTTACATAGTAGCGGATGGAATCAAAAACAAGAAAAAATAAAAATCTAGCTAAGGGTATAAAACTCCACCTCATTTCAACAGTCGCCGGGTAAATAGCTAAAACAGAACTGAAAAACAATGAATTCTGCCTTAGAAAAAATACATATTCATAGCCATACCCGAGCGCACAGCGGCGTAACGCGACCCACTTTTCTCCCGCTGTAAAATCCTTTCCAAATGTTCGCGAACGTTCGATCCTTGACGAAAAGTGGAAAGAAAATAAATATTCACAAGAATCCTTCAACGTCAGAAAGGTAGAATTTTATAGGCATTTTTTTTATATATATCGGCGATTTTGAAATATACTGAATAAAATACACGTATGTATTTTACATGCGAGAAAAGAAATCGAGTTATGTAACGCGGAAATACTATCTTACAACAGCACCGAGGCGGAGATGGGTCATGTGTCATGAGGCCACCAGAGAGAGAGAGAGCATGGTATGTACATGAGCACGAATTGTGTAAGCCATTAGACCAATAGACCACGCAAGTGTTTATTTGGAACCATCGCCTCAGCGAGGGCCTAGATGACGATTACAGCTGACCTCGTCTGACCCTTCAGTTCGCTCCCAGAAGTCACCGTGCCCGGGTCATCTCACCAGCCTCCGGTCCTCCGAGGGCTGTCTGGCCGGACACGCGACACCGCACTCAGCGCTTACTCTAAGATAACGTCTCGTGTGTGCCCTTTACTGTGTTGTACTCTTCCTTAATAAAGAGTCAAGCCGGTTAACAATTATTACTATCCAATCAGCCATAACCACTATATTGAGGTCTCAAATGAGAGAGAGAGACAGAGAGGGGAAAAGGGAGAGAGAGAGAGAGAGTCCGTGCTGTTCAGATATCTTAAGTATCGGTAGGTGTAACATAAGGTATTGCACTGTTTCTATACTTTTGGACGTTCTAAAAGCCTACGCAAGATTTCCAGCAGAACTGTCAAATAGAGAATACCATAATGTCAAGTCTGAAAAATATGCCATAGTTTTTGCACCTCTAGAAGCTATGTAGCCTAAGGCTGGAGGTGTATCGGTAGAGGTTGCAAAAAGAGAAAAAGAAAGAGATAATGTATATAGATAGTTAAAACAGATGAACAGGTACGGCTAATAAAGACAGTAGACAGATCGAGAGAAAGCCTGAATATTAACACGCACACAGTTTACCACCTTGCAGATCAACACTTAGATGGTCAAGAAGATATATATGAAAAAAACCTTACCTGTAGCTAAGTCGGTCTGCATCGGGGGCGTAACCGAGGTCTGTGACGTCATGTTAGGAGGCGGAGTCAGAGCCGGGGGGGAGGGGGAGAGGGCAGGGGGAGTGGGTGGCGTACGCCGGTGATTACGAGACTTCGGGATCGCGGCCGAAATCGGCGGCTTCATCTCTCTTTTTATCATGGCCTCCCCCACCCCCGCTCCCTCGGCGTCACCTGGGGGAGCGGCGTCCCCCCCGGCGGCCGACTCCAGACCCCCATTGAGGAGGACACCGCAGTGCTTGAGCGGGAGACTGTGGTTGGCGCTGGTGGTGGTGGTGGTGATGACGGCGCTGGAGGTCGGCGCGGTGGCCTGCTGGTGGCTCGTCTCCGGCACTTCGGGGATCGCCACCAACATGCTGGCGGCGCGGAACTACTTCACACGATTAGAAAAAACAAATAACCTAATACAAAACAGATAGAGAAATAAATTTATACTTCCAGGCGTGGTTCACTTGCGAGAGATCTCTTTCCCGATTCTCTCTCTCATCTGGACTTAAAAAAAAGGACGATGACACGATCTCGTCCCAAGCTCGACCATGACCTGTCACGTGATCACTCGAGTCTATTCTTTTTATCTTATTAAACACTATATTTTTCTCTTTGGGTCTCTATTCTACCTCAACGCAATCTACATCTACATTTCTGAAATGGATAGGAAAAAAAGACATTACTTTGGGATGATAATGTTGGGGTGAAAAAGTGTCATAAATGAAGCGCAAAATGTGCTGGATGTGGCCGGGCTACACGACACACATTCTCCCAGTTTTCCGTTTTTTCTTTTTTGTATCTTTCTGTCACCCCTCTCTCTCTCTCTCTCTCTCTCTCTCTCTCTCTCTCTCTCTCTCTCTCTCTCTCTCTCTCTCTCTCTCTCTCTCTCTCTCCATCTAGACGTTTCTAGTTCTCGTCCGATGCAACCGACTGCAACAGATGTGCGTGTACAGCTGTGTAAATCGCAGTCTCTTTCAAGAACATGTGTTATATATATATATATATATATATATATATATATATATATATATATATATATATATATATATATATATATAAATGTAAATATCTATATATATATCTATCTATCTATATATATATATATATATATATATATATATATATATATATTTATATATATGTATATATATATATTTATAATCACAGCTAAAGTACATTGATTCAATATCAAATTCTCCATGCATCTGTAAGTTTGTTTGTGTTATACTATACTCTGTCTCTGTCTGTCTATTTGTATGTTTGACTGCCTGTCTCTCCTCATCACACCGAGTCCCTCCACTCTAACTTGACCTCTGTTTTTTAACAGAACACACTCGATGGTATCTTTGTTCCATTCCTGGAGCCTGCAAAAGAAATATCCTCGATTTTTCATCCCTTACCTTTTCTTATCATTATGCCCCATCACCTCACTACCCTTCTCCCCCCTTTCTTCCTTTTTATTCTCTGCTTCCTTCTCCCCTTTCTCTATTCTCTCCTCTTCCTCCTTCTCCTACTCCTCTCTTAGTTTCTCTTTTTTCTCCTGCTCCCTCTTCCCCCATCTCCTCCTCATCATCATCATCTCCCTCAGCTACTCTCCCTTCTTCTTCTTCTTCTTTCTTTTCCTTCTCCTTCTCCTTCATCTTCTTCCTCCTCCTCCTCCTCCTCCTCCCCCAACCCCCACCAAGTTCGAATCCTCCTCCACAGCAACCAAACACAGCTTGTAGACGCTCGAACTCGCCGGAGAGGCTTTACCCTTTACCGCTCGTTCGGCGTTGCAAGTATCTTTTCATCGTTAAGAAAGTGAAAATAATAAATGTGGATACTAAATAGAAATAGGGTTTAATTAATAAATACTACGTCGGAATTTTGGACACGGATTTTTTTCTCTCTCTCCGTCCGTTTCTTTCGACTCCAATTGGACGTAAATTTATGGCAACTTTATGAAAACGTTCGGGGAAAGTCTCTCGCTCCTGGTGGTTATCCCTTCGTGCTATTTATAAACACGAATATGCATGGCTGCATACATGAACGCACGCACGCACGCACGCACACACACACACGCACACACACACACACACACACACACACACACACACACACACACACGTGGGGTGGCTCAATAATAATAATAATAATAATAATAATAATAATAATAATAATAATAATAATAATAATAATAATAATAATAATAATAATAATAATAATAATAATAATAATAATAATAATAATAATAATAATAATAATAATAATAATAATAATAATAATAATAATAATAATAATAATAATAATAATAATAATAATAATAATAATAATAATAATAATAATAATAATAATAATAATAATAATAATAATAATAATAATAATAATAATAATAATAATAATAATAATAATAATAATAATAATAATAATAATAATAATAATAATAATAATAATAATAATAATAATAATAATAATAATAATAATAATAATAATAATAATAATAATAATAATAATAATAATAATAATAATAATAATAATAATAATAATAATAATAATAATAATAATAATAATAATAATAATAATAATAATAATAATAATAATAATAATAATAATAATAATAATAATAATAATAATAATAATAATAATAATAATAATAATAATAATAATAATAATAATAATAATAATAATAATAATAATAATAATAATAATAATAATAATAATAATAATAATAATAATAATAATAATAATAATAATAATAATAATAATAATAATAATAATAATAATAATAATAATAATAATAATAATAATAATAATAATAATAATAATAATAATAATAATAATAATAATAATAATAATAATAATAATAATAATAATAATAATAATAATAATAATAATAATAATAATAATAATAATAATAATAATAATAATAATAATAATAATAATAATAATAATAATAATAATAATAATAATAATAATAATAATAATAATAATAATAATAATAATAATAATAATAATAATAATAATAATAATAATAATAATAATAATAATAATAATAATAATAATAATAATAATAATAATAATAATAATAATAATAATAATAATAATAATAATAATAATAATAATAATAATAATAATAATAATAATAATAATAATAATAATAATAATAATAATAATAATAATAATAATAATAATAATAATAATAATAATAATAATAATAATAATAATAATAATAATAATAATAATAATAATAATAATAATAATAATAATAATAATAATAATAATAATAATAATAATAATAATAATAATAATAATAATAATAATAATAATAATAATAATAATAATAATAATAATAATAATAATAATAATAATAATAATAATAATAATAATAATAATAATAATAATAATAATAATAATAATAATAATAATAATAATAATAATAATAATAATAATAATAATAATAATAATAATAATAATAATAATAATAATAATAATAATAATAATAATAATAATAATAATAATAATAATAATAATAATAATAATAATAATAATAATAATAATAATAATAATAATAATAATAATAATAATAATAATAATAATAATAATAATAATAATAATAATAATAATAATAATAATAATAATAATAATAATAATAATAATAATAATAATAATAATAATAATAATAATAATAATAATAATAATAATAATAATAATAATAATAATAATAATAATAATAATAATAATAATAATAATAATAATAATAATAATAATAATAATAATAATAATAATAATAATAATAATAATAATAATAATAATAATAATAATAATAATAATAATAATAATAATAATAATAATAATAATAATAATAATAATAATAATAATAATAATAATAATAATAATAATAATAATAATAATAA